CTTTCCTGGATCTATTTTGTCTTGATCTTACAGAAAATGATTTCATGAACTTTTACGTTTCCCCCTTTTGATCAAGATCTTTCTTTGAAAACGTTACTGATAAATTAGTCCAGTGTCAGATTTCGTGTCCCTTGATGCTGCGATCAACCTGTTGCAGTCACTGGATCTGATCTAATATCAGGGAAGGTAATGAACAACTGCAAGTAAGTGTCAAGATGTTTTAATTATATTTGAGCAGTAAGGAGGGCAGGAAAAGGGGCTTCTGTGCCTGGGTTGCCTAGGTGTCATGTTTAAGTTAATCTGTTTTGTAGGTATTGGTTGTTATCTCGAGCACAGTGCAAACATCATTTTGTCAGTAGTTGCATTTCTGCCGAGCTTTAATAGAAAACAAGTACACAGTTTTAAAAGAAAGGAATGAAGGAAAGATGCCAACTTTGTGAACATTCTACATTGCATGATGGTTTTAAGCCATGTACCTACAGTAAAAGACATTCAATTACATAGATCAAATGACAATGGAGAACTAGGTGAGGCTTATGGTAGCCATGTGGCTTGCTCTCTCATTTTATGCAACTGAGTCTCAATTTCCTCAGACTTTATTCAGGTACATCATGCAGTGTTCACAATTATAAAGACATCACCTTGGGCCGGCCCGGTGGTGCACTGGATAGTGCGCCGCTTGGGAAGCGTGGCGGCGCTCCCGCCCGAGGGTTCGGATCCCACATGCAGACCGGTTTCTGCTCACTGGCTGAGCGAGGCGTGGGAGCAACACCGAGGGTTGCGATCCTGTTGCCGGTCCCCGGTCCGGTACGGGGGCAACACTGAGGGTTGCGATCCGTTGCCGGACACGGAAAAAGACAAAAAAAAAAAAAAAAAGACATCACCTTACTTAGTTAATAGATAATCAAGAACAATTCTATTATCTGAGACTACCCTCACTAGAAATGTTAATATGCTGTTGTGCAGCAACAGCCTTTGCAGTGGAGACTGCAACATTCCTAGTGAGCAGATTTCTTATCATTTCTTTGTTAGCGGCTGCAGCATACTTTGCTCAAGAGATCTGCCAAAGGAAGAAAACCCAAAATTCCAGAATTAACTATGCAAATCATGTTTGACCATTTGATGTAGTGGGAGGGAACTACTGCAATAACTATTCTAATGATCTGTTTTAGATCTATTATTAAGTATTGATAATAGAGGGGTCAAATATCCCAATCCACATTGACCTTCTACTGTCCAGTTGTCTGAATATCTGGAAGCCCAAATTGAGGCATTCCACCTATAGAAATGAATGTACTTGGTACAAGCACATGAGTCTTTCACTTTTGAATTATTGTGTGTAAAGGAATTATACCAGGAGTAAGTAGTAAGTTATATTACTACATATTGCTAATGATTCCTCCTTTTGGGATTGGTTTCAATAACATTATATATATATATTACATAATATATATATAATAGCAGCTGCTCAGTGGGCATGATCCCAGGGTATGAGGGTGGATCTTATCTCACCTCACCTGCTCATTTGGCCCTTTCTCTGCATAGAAGCTGGTGGAGACAAACCTGAAGGCTTTGAAGATGCAGCTGTGCTCTCTGTGTGAGACAGGAGACTGCCCACCATCACTGATGGGCTCTCTCTTCACAGCCAGGGGGCAGCAACCATGTGGTAAGATGCATAGTTGGAGATGGAGAGGGCAGAATGAGAAAGAGGTGCTTACCACTTTCCACCAGCCCACAGGTAGCTGTTGCAAGAGAAGGACAAGGAGCTCCTGGAGGCTACTATCCAGCAACACCAGCACCTGCAGCACCTGCACCACTGGTGGGCAGAGCACCTGTCACACTCAACAAATGTATTCTCCTGTCCTCTTCACCTTCTTTCTGTGTCTGTCCACTACCTCTTGTCTCTCCTCCACCCATCCCACTTCTTCCCCGATTGCACCTTCCTATGCCACCTCTTACATCCAGTTGAAGGAAGACCTGACAAGTGTGGTGTGCAGGATTCTGCTCACGTCCTGAACATTCATGAAGAGGTTGGTCCAAGAAAGGTGGAAAGTCCTCATATTCGGTGGAAGGGAGCAAAACCAGCACCTAAATGTGGCTAGGGGACTGAGGGCAATGAGAGCCATGGGAATCCTAAGAGAAATGTCAGGAAGGTAGGGCACTCTTTCTATGGACATAGCAAATGCAAAGAAACAAAGGCACAATGTTGGTTGGGTGAAGTTTGGTATGAGCAAATAGATCGTGGAGACGTCCTAGCCCAGATGTGACCTCCCAAAGACAAGTCCCAAGTTCCTGGAAGTCCTTGAGGAAACTGACCCACAGCTGCCCACTGAGCATAAACTGATACACTTACAGGCCAGGAGGACACACCCAACCATGACCATTCCTGAGAGGACTGTGGGAAATAAAGACATTATTCTGGTGCGACCCACTTCAGCTGAGCCTGTGCTGATTGAGGGATGGAGTTTGGCCCAGCACCCCAAGTCCCTGATTGTTTGTAAAGACTTTGCCTTGCTCTACCTGCAGCCAGGACCAGAGTTTTCCTAACTTCTGGTTCCCTGGAATGCTGACATAAGTACTCATAGGATTTTGGAGCTCTCAAGGTAGAGCGATGAGGAGAGTCTCTCCACCTGGGCCTGGAGGATCTGGGACCCACCAGACTCTCACAATTAAAAAAAAAGTCAGTGCTCTTGGATCCAAAGCCAGTCAGTTCTGTGTTATACTTCCCACTGGTTTAATGAAGAAAAAGAAATGTAATTTGAAGCTGTGTGTAGTTTGTCCTATTACAGACATAAGACACATAACTGACTTTTTGACAGGAACATATCTAATATATTCAGTGTGAAGAAAGTCAATCAACGTCTTAAGTTGTGTATACCTCATGCAGAGAGTGTGGTACTGATAACACCAAGGCCATGGATTCAGATCCGAATATAGGGATGGCTGGTTAGCTCACTTGGGAGAGCATGATGCTGACAACACCAAGTCAAGGGTTAAGATCCCCTTACTGGTCAACTTTTATTTTAAAAAAAAAAATCTATGTAGTGCAGTACTTTTGACAACATATTTAACAAAATATAGTGAAGTTAGAGTGGCAGTTAATGTCAAAAATCCTGAAGGAAGTCAGACCAAACTATTTATTATAAGTGTACATATTCCTTCTCCACAGTTATGCTGGGTTCCATTACAAAAAATTTTTAACAAACATTTTTATGCATAAATGTTGCATGTGAGGTGGATTTCTTTTGCATTGTAGGCTGTTTACCACAATCTGTTTTCTTCCCACTCAATGGAGTAGCACCTCCTAACCTTCAGTTATGACAACCAAAAATGTCTTCAGACAAATGTCCCCTGGAAGGCAGTGTCACCAGTCATTTAAATACTGGTAACACTCAAAATGTTAAAAGTACAGGGCCGGCCCAGTGGCGCACTGCTACAGTGCGCCGCTTGGGAGCACGGCGGCGCTCCCACCGAGGGTTCGGATCCCACATACAGACTGGTTCCCGCTCACTGGCTGAGTGAGGTGCGGGGGCAACACTGAGGGTTGCGATCCCGTTGCCGGTCTGGTCCAGTACGTGCGTGACACTGAGGGTTGCGATCCGTTGCCGGACACGAAAAAAGAAAAAAAAGAAAAAAAAAATACTCTTACACTCCATTTATCATTTCTACTTGAAAATCTACATTTATTGCATAGTTTTCTCTTCATTTCAAATTCTGACATAAAAAGTGCTGAAAGTTTTCTTGAAAGCGTTGACACATTAAAGAGATTTAGAAAGATATTTAACTTTATTTCCACTGTTCAATGAGCTGTCCCAATAAGAAGTCTCACAACTATTGCATTCTTTCTCCCCATAATTTGATTTTCCCAAAAACTGACTTGGGTATAAATGGTGACAACACAGGATTCTCTTCCCATATACAAGAACTGGCAAATTCTCTCAGAAAATTTATAAAGTCATTTAGCTGGAGTGCACTGCCTGTGTTGTAGTGCAAACAGGGCACACATAAAATGGCTTAACAGGAAATAATTTCTTATATAATGTGTAAATGGACAATTTGGGATAGTGGTGAGAATATCCCTGGTTTCTTCAATTTCTTCTATTTTAAATTAGGGTGGATTTCTTTCACCTGTGGCCCCCAACTCCACCCAAGAGTCATCTTTATTCAGTTTCAGAGAACATGAGAAATCAGGAACAACTGAATGGAAATTTTTATTTTGTTGCCTGAACTGGAAGTAATGCTCACCACTTATATCTACATTCCCCTGAACAGAGTTAAATTATACAGTCATCCATCCATCTATGGAATGCTCAGATTTCAGGCTATGCAAACAAGAGAAAAGAGTGGTTTTATTTTTAAAAGACACAGTCAGTTCAATCCATATAGAATTTCTCCCCTCTTTAAATCCTCCAATGTCTGCTATGATGTGATTCCTTTTTAGTTTTATTTATTTATTTTGTGGTGCATGGCTGGTATGAAGATCATTTGTGTTATGATTGCCAATGTTAAATGCTCTAACCATAGCCAGCCTTGAAACTTTTGAAAAAAGATGTTTTCACACTCATTACACTCCTCCTTCCAAATCTGAGGGTTACACATCTGGTGATTCAAGAAACTACTTACCAAAAATCCTCAAAAATAAATAACAATAAATGAAACACTTCTACAACTGAAAAACAACACTGTACAACAACAATTTACATAGTATTCACATTTTTACCAGTATTATAAGTAATCTACACAAGATGTAAAGGACACAGCAGGAAGTGAATTGGAAATACACAAACACTACACCATTTACAGAAGGGACTTGAGCATCAGCAAATTTTTAAATCAATAGGGGATCCTCAAGATATTCTTCAATAACTGAGGACAATTGTATATTTATAGGTCTTCTTGATGCAAGTTCTCTGATGTCTTGAGGTATGACTTCTCACAAAATCTTTTCCCATACAAATTACATTCACGAGATTTTCCTATGTGTAGATTCTTTTTTGTCTGTTAGGGGGAATTCCAGTACAAGGCCTGTCATATTACATTGATAAGGAGTTTTTTCTTGTGTGAGTATCCTGATCTCTTCTCAACTGTGATGTTGTAAAAATACCTTTTCCCACATTCATTTCATTCACGTGGCTTCTCACCTGTATGAATTCCCTAATGCATGCTGAAGGTTGACTGTGGTTAAAAGCTGTTCCACATTCCTTACATTCATATGGTTTGTCATGTGTGTGAATTCACTGATGCCTGCTGAGGTGTGACTTTCAATTATAAGCTTTTCCACATTCTTTACATTCATATGGTTTCTCAGCTGTGTGAATGCTCTAATGCAGTCTGAGGTGTGACTTTCAGTTAAAAGCTTTTCCACATTCTTTGCATTCATATGATGTCTTGCCTGTGAGAATTCTAATGCCTGCAGATGTGTGACTTTAACTTAAAAGCTTTTCCACATTCTTTACATTCATATGGTTTCTCACCTGTGTGAATTCTCAGATGCCTGCAGAGGTTTGACTTTAACTTAAAGGCTTTTCCACATTCTTTACGTTCATATGGTTTCTTGCATGGTGAATTCTCTGATGCCTGCAGAGTTGTGACTTTCGATTAAAAGCTTTTCCACATTCTTTACATTCATATGGTTTCTCACCTGTGTGAATTCTCTGATGTAGTCTGAGTTGTGACTTTTGTTTAACAGCTTTTCCACATTCTTTACATTCATATGGTCTCTTACCTGTGTGAATTATCTGATGCAGTCTGAGGTGTGACGTTTGCTTAAAAGCTTTTCCACATTCTTTACATTCATATGGTTTCTCACCTGTGTGAATTCTCTGATGCCTGCTGAGGTGTGACTTACGCTTAAAAGCTTTTCCACATCCTTTACATTCATATGGTTTCTCACCTGTGTGAATTCTCTGATGCCTGCTGAGGTGTGACTTACGCTTAAAAGCTTTTCCACATCCTTTACATTCATATGGTTTCTCACCTGTGTGAACTCTCTGGTGAATGCTGAGGTGTGACTTTCGGTTAAAAGCTCTTCCACATTCTTTACATTCATACGGTTTCTCACCTGTGTGAACTCTCTGGTGAATGCTTAGGTATGAGTTTTGGTTAAACGTTTTTCCACATTCTTTACATTTATATGGTTTCTCACCTGTGTGAATTCTCTGATGCAGTCTGAGGTGTGAACTTTGGTTAAAAGTTTTTCCACATTCTTTACATTCATATGGTTTCTCACCTGTGTGAATTCTCTGATGCAGTCTGAGGTGTGAACTTTGGTTAAAAGTTTTTCCACATTCTTTACATTCATATGGTTTCTCACCTGTGTGAATTCTCTGATGCAGTGTGAGGTGTGACTTTCGATTAAAAGCTTTTCCACATTCTTTACATTCATATGGTTTCTCACCTGTGTGAATTCTCTGATGCAGTGTGAGGTGTGACTTTCGATTAAAAGCTTTTCCACATTCTTTACATTCATATGGTTTCTCACCTGTGTGAATTCTCTGATGCAGAGTGAGGTGTGACTTTTGCTTAAAAGCTTTTCCACATCCTTTACATTCATAAGGTGTTTTCCCTGTTGGAGTACACTGATGCATTCTGAAGGGTAACTTGTTGTTAAATGTTTTTCTACATCCATTACATTTGTATGGCTTATCACCTGGGTGAGGTCTCCAATGCATGCTGAAGGCTGACATTTGGTTAAAAGCTTTTGAATTTTCCTTACATTCATATGTTGTTTTACTTTTGTGAATTCTCTGATGCCTGTTGAGGGCAGATTTTCGGACAAAAGCTTTCCCTGTAGATGTTCCCTGATATGAGATAAGGTGTGATTGCTTAATAAAAGATTCCTGACACTCACTGTATTTATCATGCTTTTCTCCTGTGTGTATAATCTGATGTTGAGTAAGTCTAGCGTTTTTATAGGATATTTTCAAACACACAACACATTGAAAAGTTTTCTTCCCTACCTGAGCTATCTCTTGGGCAATGACACATGACTCATTACAGGCTTTCCCATATTCACTATATTTACAAGTGGTCTCACCCATATGAATTTTATTATATGCAAATATTATTGGCAATGTATTGAAGGATTGTCTGTTTCCACTATATTCATAAAGTTGTCCAGCTGGAATCTTAGGATGCTGACTGAAATGCTCATGATGACTGTGTGATTCCTCACATATATTATGCTCATAAGCTTTCTGTACAGCACACACGGCATCTGTCTCTGGAACAACTGCACTCTGACATTTGTTAAACTCCTCATGCCTCACTCCTGAATAGTTTTCATTATTTATAACCAGATTTAAAGTATCCATTGAATATGCATTCACTGATTTTCCTAACTCCACTCTCTCCTCAGCTGATTGGTTGCCATTGATGATTACACCTCGCCACAAGTGTCTACCATGACTTTCTTGGCTCCTCTCAATTAGGTCATTGACTATATGGACATCTGAAATGACAAAAAAATACCCACATCCATGAGCCACACATAAACATATTTTATTGCATGCTCATGTAAAGGTAGAGAAGTTTCTCCCAACTGAAGTAATAAAAGATTTTATAAAAATCAATAATGCGTATTGGTTTCAAGAGTATATGGGTTTTCTTTATACCCACATAATGTTGTGCTGTATTAATATATTTTCTTACATTATGTCACATTCTTCTTTGCTTCTTTACTCACTCTTCTTTTCAAATCATGATGAAATATGTGATAATTCTTACCTTTTCCCTAATTGCAGATTTTAAATAATTGCTTATCACCTTCCATTTGTTTTCTTACCCTTTTTAAAACTCTACTTTATTACTACAGTTTTACCCTATTTTATTTTTATAACAATAGTGGTTATCTCCTGCAGGTCTTTTTCTCATTCTTCTGCTTTGAATATGGCCAGGTTTTCCATCATTGACTACTTTCAGGTGCAGAATGATCCAATTTTTCATCACACATGGAGGAAAATGACTTAGGTTAAGAATTTTGCATTAATGTTACTATACATTTTACTCTTCCTTAGGAAGTGGCTATAGGCATGTGGAAATTTTTCAAATAATATCTCCTTTTTCCCACCCTAAACAGAGCCTCCCACAAATTACTCACTTAACCTGACTTCCTGTGCTTCAAAAAACCATTACTCTACAGGAAACTTCAGTCCACCCCTACAGACACCATGCTGGTCTAAAATGTTTGGTTCTCCAACCAGGGCTTTGCCCACCATCTTTGAAAAGGTGCTGTTGACTCCTTATAGAATCAACCTGTATCACCTTCCCAAACTCTGGAACACACACTCCCACTTGATAATTCATTCCTCATGAAAGCTTTAGTATTATGCACTGGAGCTTTGCGTGGCTACTATGCTCATAAAAAATAGAGTCTCCTGTACATTTCTAAATTTCTTTATTTTAGAATAATTTTTACAAAGAGAATAGTAACTTCAAATTCCACTTCCAAACAGCAATCTCAGACCCTCAACTTGAAAGCGTTGGTTCACTTGACCTTCATATCATGAGTCTCCTGGTTCTTTTATAAAATCTAGAACTCTTCTTTTCTATGCCCTGTGCTAAGTCTGTCTCAGGTCCATAATTTCTGATGTGTTGGTATAGAAGGTGCATACCGGGACCTCTTCTTTTCTTATCAACTTTCTATGTGATATCCTGCATCACTTTGGGATTCTGCCAAGAATCACCAACAAAAACAAGGCCGGTACCACATGCAGCCCCTAGATCTTGAAATGCTCAGCCTCCAGGATAGAACAGGAAGACATAGAGTTTGTTTATTCATAAATTACCCAGTTACAGATATTCTGCTTTAAGAAACACAAAAGGAAAGAGTCTGAAGAACCATGTCCATGAGAGTGTAGGACATGAGGGCAAAAGAGAATATCGAAAAAGTAAATAGCAAACATAAATGTCAAAGAAGAGAAATGTAGGGATTATATTTTAGGAAAATACATTGTTAAAATACAGCAAAATAAAATATGGAGAGGTATATGTATGAGTCCATCTGAGAGATTATATAATACATGTGTTTGATGCAAGGAGATGAGCCAGCCTCAGCTCATGGACCTGTGGCAATATTGCTAGAAACAGCTGAACACAGTCAAGATCTGCTGGGTTTTATTCTTCCTGGACTCTGCCCAGGATGTGCTTACTAACCTGGGAGGCTCTGGTTTGGGTGTTCTTTTATTATCCATGGCTCTGCTCCTTTCTCCAACTTGAGGATCACCTCAGGTTTACTAATGCAGCACCCTGTTAATGGGAGGTAATATAGGACTTTATAAAACTGCAAAGCCAGATCCTTGGAAGAATGACAAGAACTCAGCTCCAGAAATTACACAATAAAGAGGCCAGTTGGGAACTTTTGTTTGATGGGGATGACATGTTTTTCATGAAATGTAATTTTACCAAATAGTATAAAACCCTATAACAAACTTCTATTTTTATAAAAAAAATAACATAATGAATCTCCTGAAAATTACTGGGGTGTTTCACTCACCCAATGACACCAGGCTCCTGTAGGTCTCCAGCATCACATCCCTGTACAAAGTCCTCTGAGCATCATTCAAGTCCCTCCACTCCTCCCAGGTAAAGTCCACAGCCACATCCTCAAGTGACACCAACTCCTGTAATGGCACATTGATCTCAATTCAAGCCACCAGCCCTGGGTTGCAAAGTAGGAATCTCAGTCTTCACACTTCTGTGTGAGGATCAGTGTCTTATGCATTAAGGTGCTGCTTTTCTATTCTCCATATAGTGGAGGGGGAAAAAACCCAGCAGGAATAATCCTGTCACCTTAATAATACATCAATTGCTAAAAATATGATTACAAAGCTTACCTTATAGCTATGAACCATTCTTCTTGTTAGTTATAAAAGTATGAATAAAATGCTCCTTCTCCAAGAAGTTTATAATCAGGTTTGAAAACATAAGTATAAATACATACCTGAACCAGTGTGTTGGATTAACAAATTTTGACAGAAGTTGAATAGAGAATGGGGAAAGAAAGACAAAATACATTTCTATGGTGCATTCTGTTTGCAAACCACTGAAATGCCAAAGATGTTAAGCTCTTCCATGTGAACCACATGTTCTTATGAGTATGAGGCAACAGTAAAACTGCAGTCACAAGAGCAAAGGAAGAAATGGCACATTAATGGAACTACACATGTGGTTTTGTAAATACAAATCAGTTACATTCTAGATTTGCAATTTAATAGTCATCCACAAGAGGAATAGAAAAAGCTCTAGAGAGAATCAGAGCAGAAGAAAACAGGGTGGTTGAAGGCCAGCTGCATTAGAACAGAGAGCAAGGCTGGTTAGCTAGCTCACTTGAAAGAGCATGCTTCTGTTAACACTAAGGTCACTAAGATCCCCATACAGGCCAACCAATAGAAAATAAATAAATAAGTAACAGGTAAGAAGCATACAGAAAAGGAAAGTGATACAGAAACAAAAAGCAGGAAGACACAGTGGTACTAAATTCCTGTGCAGAAAATAAAAGTGTTTTATTCTCAAGCTCTCTACATAATTGTAGCTAATTAGGTACTGGCACTGTAAAGTGTAGCTTTTAGAATGACAGAAAAATAGAATGGGCAGAAATAAAACAGACTTGAATACATTATACTTGAAATATCGGTGGGAATGTCCAATTTGCAATTGGATACATGATTCCAGAGTTCAAGAGATCTAAGCTAAAGATAAAGATTTGGAAATGTATTAGTCCATTTCTGCGGCTCATAACAAAATACTTGGGAAGACGGCGAACAGCTGAAGATAGATCTACCATACGACCCAGCTATCCCACTGCTGGGAATATATCCAAAGGAATGGAAATCATCAAGTCGAAGGTATACCTGTACCCCAATGTTCATCGCAGCACTCTTCACAATAGCCAAGAGCTGGAATCAGCCCAAATGTCCATCATCGGATGAGTGGATACGGAAAATGTGGTATATCTACACAATGGAATACTACTCAGCTATAAAAACGAATGAAATACTGCCATTTGCAACAACATGGATGGACCTTGA